ATAACAAGGTTCAACTTTAATACGGTATCGTATTTGTGATAACGTTCAATTAAAAATAATTTTCATTACCATTTCCATTATCGGAATTTAATCAGCTTACTGGGAATATATTCTCAATAAGCTGATTGTGAAAATAAATACACACAAGAGCATGGGCACTGATAATACCCTCTTATAAGTGATGTGGATGTAACAGCATTGAAAAAAATGTTGTAAATCAATGAATAGGTAGATGAAATGATAATTAATCTGGAAAGCAGATGATAAAATAATGAATAAATGAACATATGCATAAATAAATGAACGAAGGAATGAAAAAATATATGCTAGATACAATATTTCCGTCATTCAGAAATACTACAAAGGCAAATTTCATTTCAAATTCTCCTAGTTTAAACCCTCAACCAAAGTAAATATAGTGGATTTTTCATATGCAGCGACATCTAATTAATTCATAGCAAGACAGATAATCAGAGTTTTCATCTTCCTAAACAACTACATGCAAACTTGAGTAAAACCGCCACCATTGCTATACTCATTAATAAGATTATAAACAAGATTCCCCAGGGACAAAGAGCCAAAATCTTCAACTTAATCAATCATCATGTTATCGACTAATACATAAGTTAATATGTTCAACTGGTATAGTCTATGTAGTAATTTTCCACTTTGCCTGAAGTATCCTGAAACAAAGTTAAAAATTTCCAAACGTTATTGGATTCTTGATCATTAAGTTCTGTATCAACCTTTGCAATGTCTGTGTTGAAATACTCTTTGTAAAAGGCACCATGAGTTCTTTGCATGTAGCATGTTTCTCCACTTAAAACCTGTAACTAGATTTTGGGATAAATGAACTCTTCTTGTAAAACATCAACATTTCATATACTCACCTAAAAGGAAAAAGAAACACGACAAAAAAAAAGGGTAATGCCATTTAATTACAGTCATAACTCTGAAATGCACGCTTTTTAATAATCTGCTTCATATCAAAAGGATAATCTACACCGGACTCCACTTATCGACACCGACCAGATTAACTACCACTATACACATTTCACCAGTATATTAATAACGTAGATCTAGTCACGAGAAGATTGCTGTTGCATGTCCTCGCTCTACTCTGTGTGGTGTAGTGGTAGCGAGTTTAAATTCCGTACTGTCAATGGATTGTAACTCGGGAATGCCTTGTCTAAAAAGGGTAATTTACTGTAAACCACAATATGCAGACGGCTGCAGTCAGCAAACCTAAAGTTATTATTATTATTATTATTATTGTCATTATTACTATCACCATTTTCAAATATTTTTCAGTCATTATCATTACTATAATCGCCACTGAGGCATTCCAACGAAAGTAGCATCGAACAATAACTCGTACCATCTGGTTGATATCAGAATCAAGACAAGAAAAACTGAACACAACTTCCCCTTTCCCTTTACTTTTATGGCGTCTTGATATTCGCTACGGCAGAGAGGAACCTACATCTTGAATTTCCATCTTCTTGTTCAGTTGAATGAGAATGTAGTTCCTCGTTTACGTCGATTTGCTAATGCTGGTAGAATTCTCGATTAAAATTTACATAAATTATGATTAGCTGTTACGAAGGGTATTTGTGAAACCAATGACCATTGTAACGCAGTGACTCGAGTGAAAGAGGGAATTTGCGTGCTGAGTAGTGATGTATATTGCTTAAATATGCACTTGCTATTATTTCCTTAACAACCAATTTTTAGTGGAATCATATTTTTTTAAAGACTTCGCAGAGATAGTAGAGCCAACATCATGCATAACCGATCAGAATAATCCAAATACGGCGTACGAAGCCATTAACTTTTGCACATGTGATATTACTAAGTCATCACAGAAGACCGGGGGCAATCGTGCCTTTGACGTGGGATAGCAATCATAAATGTATAAAAAAAAGACGATAGAGAACGGCCCAGCATTATTGTTTCGGAGCCTCTAGTGCTTGGTTTTAATTAAGATCGAAATTTCGCTCGAGTTTTTTTTTCCAGATGATCATGTGACGCGAATATGTGATAGGAATGCTGTCATTTTGTCAAGAGTGGAGTTAAACACCGATGATTGCTTTTGTTTGTTTTTAATTAGATTTCGCTTTCACAGTCACTCAGAGCTAGTCGCGAAAATCTTTGTCTAAATCCCCAAGCGGTTACTGCAGACACGTTGGGCTACTGTAGGAGAGGCGTGAGGCATGGCTCGGAAGACTAGAGCGTGAAGCGCCTCTCCAACGTCGCCTTCGTTTCGTTCCAAACACACACACACACACACACACACACACAGAGGAGGGGGTATAAGTACTCTGTTTACTATTATCATTGGTTTACTATTAGTTTCGTTGCTATCATCATATTCATCTTACATACATTAATTCTTTTATTTGTTTAATTTCATTCGTTTATTTATCATAATTATTTTTATAAAGTCCTCGTTCATATAGTCTCCAAAAAGGTCGATTTTAACGGCCGGTTGACAATGGCA